TAAGAATTAACCTGTCAAATATTAAACTGGGCTTTTGCAGAAATCATTATATAAACTATAGCAGCTAATTACAGTTTACTTTGCTCTGTGACAATGTACATATGCACTTGAATAGGGTTCTAGCACTTGCTTTTGGGAGATACTTATTAGAAGTCCTTTGATTTAAAATCCAACAACTGCCACACCCAGCCAAATCCAACCTAACAGTTCATATAATGGCTTCAGACAACTGATCATTGAAAAATTCTTATGGTTTGGGTAGAGTTGAATGTTCCACTAATATTACATATGATAAGAAGAGACATTATAAGCCAATATCAAAGTCAAATCAGTTTGTGACAAGGTTTTTCTACAAGTATTTTAGATGTCATACTTTCAGGAAAACAAGATTTTAATGTGTATTTGGATTTGGATTTTACAATATCTATGCTCTAACTGAAAATTTAAGAGTAGTCAGATGGAATGAAGTCTAGTATTACAAATCTGTTCATTTAACATTATTGAGCACCCACTATGTGCATTGCACTGTGCTAACTTCTAAAAGTTGAATATTAATGTCTTTATTAAGCATTACCTTAGTGTGAGGTAAAAATACATTAAATTAGCATCAACTCATTAGTTTTCTTGTGGTATGTAATCCTGTGTCCGCTGGCTTCCCTGTGCCATATAAAGAGCTTCTGCACACCCCTCATTCACTCACACAAACATCTGTACACTGACTATGCCAGGCATTGTGCTAGTCACTGGGATACCGCGATTTGGTATATGTTCAAAGAATGCATTTTTATAGGATAGGATGTACACACTTCCAGTGAGAAGGGGAATGGTTCATTTTTTTTTTTTTTCCCTCTCAGAGTCTATTACTCCTGCATTTAGAGCTTTAGGAAATGAGCTTGTTTGTTTCTCCCTGAGATCACTCCTTAAAAAAATAACATTGAGACTGCACCTCTATGTTACTTACAGGGTACTCTAAAATTTAAAACGCTCAATCCAATACATGGAGAATGAATTCCTGCCATTAGAGAATTAATCCTTTCAACTTGATATTATTGAGAGACTATTATCTGTTCTTAGGGAAATGGTGAAGACAACGGTAAAGAAAAATAAGAATTTGAGGCAAACCCAAGAGGATTCTCTTTAAAATCAGAGATAAGTGAAATGAAGGAAGAGAAGAGGCAACTTTGAGCACAGCCAAAGCCTGATACTTGCTAAATTGTGATCCCTGAAGCTTTGGAAACCGGGCTTGATTATTTGCCTCTGTGGCCATTTTATTTCAGGATGCCTCTCTCTCCAAATTAGTTTATCCTCTAACTTATCAGGTTGCCTGAAACTATGACAGCATAGGTGAGATCTTTTCAGTCTTCATGACCTCATTTAAAGCCTGTACCTGCTCATAGATGAGGGTAACTAAAAGTCCAGGAAGATGAGATTCATGATATCAGTAGTTATTTTCCAGTGATAGCCATAATAATTTGACACCTTTCTCAATTTAAGGGCACACTTGGATTGGTAAGGAGATATAAGCTTCAGAGCCAGATTGTAGTCTGTAAAATAGGAAGTCTGTGAGATGAGTGTATGTAGATCTTTGATCATATTTGAAAATCCTTTGGGTTCAGTTTGTAGAAGTTGGCCATGGAGAATGAATCAGAAGCTGATTTCCAAGCGTCTAAAGATTTTAAAGAGTGAGAAAGTCTTAACTACTCCTCCTCAGACAAACGGATTTCTATGACCCCTCATGTCTGTAAGCAACCTCCCCACTTTTCCAGAAACCCAAATAGTTTTCCAGTAGTCCTCTGCAACTCCTGCTTTTCTCTTATGCTTTCAAGGCAGTATCTTCCAAAGGTTCATTGATTTCTCCTTGTCCATTGCTGTTTTATCTTTCCCTTTTCCCCAAGTCATTGCTTCTGACATTGCCTAAATCCTCACCGCTAAAGTTATTTCATTACAGAAGCCATCCATGCATTTTTTAAACACTCCTTCTCATGTATTCTGAGACACTCAAAATCTAATTGTTGAATAATTGTTCTAAGTAATAGAGATCTAAGATAAATGAGGCAGAGAAGAAAACTTTCCTCTTAATATTTATAATGTGGGTGTGGAAGATATCAAAAATGAATAATTAAACCAATCTACAACATGATTTCAGTAACTGTCATTTGCTATGAAGAAATGAATATCTGGACTCAATGAGGGAGGGACATGATTACATCAGGATTAGTCCTTCTCAGGAAGTAGTATTTGAGCTGGAGTGAGAATGAAAAGAAGGAATTTGTTATGGGGAGATATTGGAATAAAAGTTCTGACAGCTGGAATAGGTAATCCACACCTCTGAGGGAGGTATGACAAACCTTTGGTATGCTGGAGACATAAATAATGGGCTGGTACAGATGACATGTAAAGGTAAGGATACAGGTAGGCAGGAAATGTTGCTGCAGGAAGCAGAAACCTAATAACTTGGGATTTGTCTTCAGTGGTAGAGAGTGAGAAGCCTTTAGAGAATTGTCATCCTGGTAATGACATTACCTCTAAACCTCTGTACTCTTAATATTCCAAGAATATCCTGTTCATTATGACATTATTTTTCTCACATGGTTCTTATTGCCTATCAATAATAATTAGTCCTTTTTTCATCTATTAAAAGTCTGAGGAGCTCCTGGGTGGCTCAGCTGGCTAAGCATCTGACTCGGGTTTCAGCTCAGGTCGTGATCTCAGGATCTTGAGATTGAGCCCTGTGTCAGGCTCTACATGCACTGGGGAGTCTGCTTGGGACTCTCTCTCCCTCTCCCTCTGTCTCTCCCTCTTGTGTTCACTCTCTCTCTAAAATAAATAAATAAATAGATCTTAAAAAAAATAATCTGAGTCATCCAGACCTGTGTCTGCATGTGCATATGCACGTGTGTGTGTTAATTATGAAGTTGTTATCATTTAAATGGTCTCAACTGGCAACATTGATATTGAAATCTAGACCTTTAAGGGATAAAGAATGTATCTTCTGCCCACCACTCCATCATCACCGTCGACCCTGTGACAGGCAGAGTCAGAGTTAAGAGCTGAAGGCAAGAAAGAGGAAATGAGACTGATCGATTAAAAATTCACGTTTGTTATTGACTGAGACACTGACTGACTGACTGACTGACTGACTGACTGGTGTAGTGCCTGGAATAGCCTCTGTTTCCTTTGCTGAGGGGCAAAAAGAGAGGCTACAGGGCTCAGAGACCAGTGCTGTTGATAGCCTGCAACTAAGTAATCATTTGCTTCTCACCACTGTTGTGGAGACATGAGCCCAAATCAGAAGGTAATTCACAGGACAAATTCTAATCAATGCACAGGGTCAATGAAATGCCTGAGGGTTAAATTTGTCAAGGTACGACACTCTTAACTTGTAAAGTGTGAAGGTCTTGAACCTTGATGTGAGAGTTTGACTCAAGGCCTGGAGGTCAAGATTCCCCAGCAACCTAGCAATGACTCCCTCAAGAGTGATTGAGTCATGCCACTTCCTCAGAAGTATCCCCAAGTCAGTGCCTAGCCTCTTGTTAGATTCCGCCCCTCCCTCCCCCCCACCCCCAGGCTGGGAGATTTCAGTCATCAACTACCAGCTCCTTCCTTGTCATCCACCCCAGCCAGTCAGATATCATCTTTTCCTCACTCTACCTCTGCTCATCCTTCACATTTTTGCAGATGTCACTGCTCTTGGGTTTAGGCCATTATGGCTGTTGCTCTGAATTAGCATCCATGTCTAGCCTCTGCAATTTTGAATTCATTTTGTGTGAATTAAGTTGATTACTTTCCCCCCAACTACTATTCCTTGAGTCATTATAGTTCTAAGGATATTTATTGTTTACTCTTGCCAAAAGCTTAGTAATAGTTTTTATATTTATATTCAGGTTTTTATTTTTATATTATTTTATTTTTATATTCAAAGTTCATTCAGTGAACTTTATCCTGGCATTATCTTGTCTTTCCTAATGCTCTACCTATGTCTTACTGTCTCCTCTATTTCCAGAAAGCCATTTTCCTGCAAGTCACCAAGCCCTAGCTTACTGGTTTTAGACTATGAGCTTTCGTTAGTATCTCCTCTACTCCATGAAGTCTTGATCATTCTCCCCTCCCCCAAATTCATACAGTATCCTAACTCCAACTTTATTTTAGTGCATGTTACATTTGATTATAAAATAACACACAGGGGCGCCTGGGTGGCTCAGTCATTGAGCATCTGCCTTCGGCTCAGGTCATGATCCCAGGGTCCTGGGATCGAGCTCCGCATCCGGCTCCCTGCTCTGCGGGAAGCCTGCTTCTCCCTCTCCCACTCCCCCTGCTTGTGTTCCCTCTCTCGCTGTGTCTCTCTCTGCCAAATAAGCAAATAAAATCTTTTAAAAAATAAATAAATAAAATAACACACAATGATTTCATGTGTCTTAGCCTTGGCTCCCCATTGAGACCATGGAACCCTTTGGGAAAGAAGAGCTTATTGTTGGTTATTTTTCTGGAAAGCTCCCAGCCATCCCTCAACTCATCTTCTTATGTCCAATTCAGCCTCACAAGATATATGATAAGTTAGCTGATTCAATATGTACATTAAAGCAAATTGAAAAATAACCCTAGCCTAGACCTTAGATCCTTGCAAAGGTTTTAAAGCTAAGACATGTACCACAAATCTATCTTATTTTTTTCTGAGGCACTGCTTAGCACCTCCTTCCTTCCCCTCTACAGTAACTTTTTGCCACACTGCCCTGTAAATCCCTGCCAGCTTGACTAACATTTTCCCCCACCCAGAAAACTTCTTCCCTATTCTATCATCCACCAAGATCCTCTAGAATCCTCCCATAATGTCTGTCTTCCCAAAGGAGCTCTTATTTTTTCCTATGTCTCCTCCCACCCCTCAGCCAATGAAACTTTTCTCCTTTAACACGAGAGTGAAAGATGGAGAAGACACAATATTAATTTCTGATTGTTGAATAGAATGAACTTTATTAAACAGAAACTGTGCTCTCAAGGCCAAACCCAAATCCCCATATGCAGAAGGAGGACACTGGGGACACAGAAGGGTACTGCTGAACTGGAAAGAGGACTCAGTGGTACTTGTGGGCCAGAGCAGTGGCAACACCAGCCACCAGCTTCTGCCAAGCAGCCTGTACACCGGGGGTGAATTCTTTGCCAAAATGAGAAGCCAGAATGATCACCAATACGTTGCCCAGGAGCTGTTAGGTGAAAGATAAAATGACAAATTGGCATGTTGAGTAGAAGTTCTCAAAAAGAATTGCAGAAAAAGTGGCTCAATACCTATACTCCCTGCCAAGTCCACACCTTAAACTGCCCCAAGGTGTGTGCCTGCAAAAAGCTCAGATAAGCTAGTCCCTAAATTCAATGTAATGAGTGAGCTCTCCATTCAACTCCCTGCCTCCCAAGCCACCATTTTTATTTGCGTCTCTCCCTCCCTTTCTTATCTACCAACTGGTTAATTCTTGTAATAATGGGATTTTAGGGCTGCATGGGTGCCCAGAGTGAGTTTATTTAAAGTCTCCAATCAGTGCAGGAACACGCCTCCATTTGGTAACAATACTGACAGGTAATTTAATATATTTTAGAGAACTTGTTGTATATTTCTTTGAGAGAGTCTGTCTAAAAATTTTTCCCCCAAATCTCTCCCTAAACTTTAGTCATCAGGACCCACATAAAATAAGACTTTTCACCTTCCTTGAGACAGAACTTTATCTACGAAACACCAAATTCCATTCCTCCTTGAACAAGTCTGCTATTCTCTGAAGTCATTCTCTAGGATGAACACATCTGGTTCTGACGAAAGTACTTGAAAACTTTTAAGCAAACTCTGGCTGCTAATAGCCCTTTACTGTCACTAATCCTGAATCAAGGTGGTCCTGGTTATGCACAGTGGAGATGTGTCCTTCTAAAACCAAGTTCAAACCATAATTTCTGAAATTTTTGTTAGTCTTTCCAATCAAAGACTCAACTTCCATTATTATCTCAAAGTGAAAAGTAATAAAAGAGCACATGAACATTTCCTGACTCACCCTGAAGTTCTCGGGATCCACGTGCAGCTTGTCACAGTGCAGCTCACTCAGCTTAGCAAAGACGCCCTTGAGATTGTCCATGTTCTTAATAGCATCTCCAAAGGAAGTCAGCACCTTCTTGCCATGGGCCTTGACCTTGGGGTTACCCAGGATGGCAGAAGCAGAGGACAGGTTGCCGAAGTTGTCAAAGAACCTCTGGGTCCAGGGGTAAACGACCAGGAGCCTATGGGATGGAACCATTGTAGATGGAAAATCAGAGACTTTCAAAAATCTTGAGGAATTTCCTGGTCACTTGGCCAGGTTCATATTCACCACCCTTTCCCATACCTTGAAACCCAGTGCCTACCTGCCCAGGGCCTCGCCTCCAGCCTCTTCCACATTCACTTTGCCCCACAGGCTAGTAATAGCAGTCTTCTCCTCAGCACTAAAATGCACCATGATGTCAGGTCTGGGAGCTTACAGGTGATCAGAGAGAGAAGTAGGTTTGTGTTATTCCTGGAAGCTGTCACCTTTTATTCTTTACTGCTGACCTTCTGGCCCCTTGTTCCTCCTAGTTCTTTGAAGTCATTGGTCAAGGCTAAGCTGTGTCCCTCAGGGGTGGAGTCAGGTCAGGAAAGGGTCAACAATGAAGAAGGTACACGGAACTTGTGATAACGTATATTGGTTCCTGAGACAGCCTTCCTTTGTTGGCTCCTCTTCTGTCCTCAACACAATTTACCATTCATTCTCCTTTTCACCCTCTTTTCTCTTGGAGGTGATACTCCAAGATGACATCCATCTCTCCCTTTCTTCTTCTCCAAGAAAAACCTATTGAAAGGAGCTAAGCCCAAGATAGGGGAAGAGTTTCAGTCAAAACAGTTTTAATATTTGAGTTAAAGATGGTGACAGGGACAAGAACAGAGTCAAAAAGAAAAAAGTACAGTTGTTGACACAGAATCTCAGCCAGTTTTAACTCACTTGAGGAGTGGATTATAACCAAGCCTCTGGTTCTTAGTTTTCCAAAGGAGACAAAACACATACATGGTTACTTCAGGAAGCTGAAGAGAGTAACAAGGGATCCACAATAGGACTAAGACTTCAATCCCAAAGTACAATACCTGAGGGTAATTTCATAGAAAGGACAGAAAGAATAAACTTATGTCCTGTGCTTCCGTGGAACCCTCTCTCTGTCCATTTCTCTGTGACTTCAGGGGAAATTGGCTACTTTGGGGAGATTTCCCTGAGCTCTTTTCTTGATTTTCTGCCCCGCTAATACTTCTTTAATCAGTGAGACAGCTGAGGACTCTACAATTATTTAAAACCAGGACTTGTGGGACACCTGGGTGGCTCAGTCGTTAAGTGTCTGCCTTCAGCTCACGTCATGATCCTGGGGTTCTGGGATCGAGCCCCGCGTCGGGCTCCCTGCTCCACGGGGAAGCCTGCTTCTCCCTCTCCTACTCCCCCTGCTTGTGTTCCTTCTCTCGCTGTGTCTCTATCTGTCCAATAAATAAATAAAATCTTTAAAAAATAAAAATAAATAAAAAAATAAAACCAGGACTTGTGATCAAGCTGAGGAATAGATGAACTGGCAGGTAATTAGGCTAGAGGTCGGAGTATGTTTAATGTTTGTTGCAGCCATAGGTGCCAGAGGCTTCAAATGCCTCTAGTGTCCTTTTGTTTGTTTATTTGTTTGTTTGTTTGTTGATGCCACTCTTGTCTTTGGACTTCCCTAAAAACTCAGCGTGAACTAGAGTCTGCACCTTGCAACTTTTTCAATTGCAATCCACTGTTATTAGTCTGGAGTCCTGTTGGTATGGTGGTAAGGAATGTTGGAGGAGAAACATTCTATAGTTGTATAATTAAGTTTCAGTCTTTAATGGACCAGTGTTCCTGGGCTGTGACTTTCACAGTGTTTGTTAGCTTTTCCCCTCTTAAGAAAGTCAGGAAAACCTCCCTGGGCTAGACTATATATATTACAGAGTTGAAAAGCCGCATATCTGTAGCTCAGATCAAGGCTTATCAATTCTGATTGTGAAGTCAGTTCAGGTTGGCTGAGTGTAGTCTCTTACTGCTTAGGTGCTTGTTGATTCAAGCTAAATTATCTCAGCTGCTCATTTTGAAGTACTTTACTTCAAATACGAAATATTATTATTGTCTCCCTTTCCTGGATGAAAAACCCAGGGTTTTTCATGAGTGACATGATTAGAAATAAGTGATATGATTATCCAGATAGATCAGAAAGATTAAATCATCAGAAAAAGTAAACAGTAAGAATATTTATTACATTTAGAGAGAGAATATTTATTACATATAAAATTAAAAAATTAATAAAGTAAAAAACATGTTATGTCTTAAGGTATTTAAATTAAAAGACTTTTTAAAAAGAAATTCCAATTTTTTTTTTAAAGATTTTATTTATTTATTTGACAGAGAGAGACACAGCGAGAGAGGGAACACAAGAGGGGAGAGGGAGAGGCAGAAGAAAGCCTCCCGCCGAGCGGGGAGCCTGATGCGGGGCTCGATCCGTGGGATCATGACCTGAGCCTAAGGCAGACACTTAACCGCTGAGCCACCCAGGTGCCCCAAGAAATTCCCAATTTTGATAAACATTAATTCCTGCCTCTCAGGTGTTCTGTAGCATTTGTACTTTTGTAAGCTCTCTGAAGGATTTTAAGAAATTTAAGATGTCTCTTAAGCAGGAAAAAATAAAATATTTTCTTAAATCTAAATTTATAGTTAATTTATGACACCTATAAATCCTATGAGTCAAATATATCTTTAGGTGCTATTCGTGTGGATTATATAAGTCATGCTGTTGGTAGGTAAACTAGGTCTTTGGCCCCACTACATGGTTTTCATTGTATTATCTGAGAAAAATTACTCCAAAATTATTCTTCACCACAATGAGCTTTTTTTTTTTTTAATTTTTGAATTTTAAAAGTAGAAAATCATTGACAGGGTTTATAAACCATTGAAGCTATAAAAAGTTGTGTAGGATTCTCTATTAGAGAGGCTATCAGTCTGCTTCCATTATGCGTCAGAATTTATAGTCTCATAACAGAAATAGATGGTATCTATCAAAGGTTCCATGAGGTGTTGCATCCACCTAGAATAAGTTGGTTACCAGGAGTAGCAAGAGTTTCCTGTGACTGCCATGCAGGAAGCCAGTGAACATTTTCTGTTCACCGAAGCAATGAGAGAACAGACCACACTGACATCAGGCAACACGGCTGCTTTCTAAGTCCCATGCCGCCTCCTCGGCACCTTCTCTCACAAAGGCTGTAGGTGAGTCAACCAGAGCTGGGTTTTGTTCTCAGAGTGATTTCTCCCAGTTGGCAGCTTACGATACAAACTTCAGTGGTCTGACCTCTGGGATCACTGTGCCTAAGGCATAGCCAGAGATGTGTGTGAATGTTAATTAAGCAAGAGGGTGAGGAAATGGAGGGCCAGAACTCAGTTACTGCACACTTTTCTGCATGATGGACCTGGAAGGTTAAAACTTGAATTTAGCAGCTTAGACAGTCATAAATTTCCCATTTCTTCAGAAATATAGCTCTATTTTCTTGCTTTCCTTGATGCTTTTTCACCTTAAATAAAGTTGCCTTCATCTATTTTTGTGATTTGTTTTCAAAAACAGGGAATTCCTGTTTTTTTCCCCTGTTTATTGCAAATAATATTGCCCAATGTACTTTATGAACTAAGAAAAATATAGAAAAACATACTGTGAAGGAGTGACTCCATTATTAGAGCCAGTGTTTTCTAATCTTCCTTCCCTTCAGTTTACTGCACTACCATGTGTTATTGGTTCATATCCCATGGCTCTGACCTAAGTCAAGTAATGATTTAATAAACTTTATCCAAGTAGAGTACCTCTGAAGCATGCATAAACCTAATATTTATATTTCTTTTTTTTTTTTAAAGATTTTATTTATTTATTTGACAGAGAGAGACATAGTGAGAGAGGGAACACAAGCAAGGGGGAGTGGGAGAGGGAGAAGCAGGCTTCCCGCAGAGGAGAGAGCCCGATATGGGACTCGATCCCAGCACCCTGGGACTATGACCCGAGCCGAAGGCAGTTGCTTAACAACTGAGCCACCCAGGCGCCCCTAATATTTATATTTCTACCTAGGGTTGATTCAAATGGGATTCCTCTAGGCATAGGGCTTAGAATCTTGTATATAGAAGTGATGGGAAAGATCCAATTTTATGCTAAGCTTCCATGTCTACAACTAGAAGACTGGGAAGTCTTTGACTTGGTGACTTCTGAATTCTAAAAACATTTAACGCTTTTTTTTTTTTTTTAACCTAGGCAGCCTATCTTCAGCACTTTGGGTATTCAGTATTGAAGTTATGGCATAACATGTTTCCTGAATAGAAAATTTACATCTCTCTGGAAAAGGATAAATTTGAGGTTTGGTAAGTAAGCAGGGCTTAAATGGAAGCAGTAATGGTTATGGTTGGACCCCATCCATTAACAAGATCATCCACCACAAGGAATTATGAGAAACTAGCACCCTTTGTTTTGTAGACCTAGTGGGGGCAGCTAGTGATTGCTCCTCCCCTAAACGCTTTGTAGCCCTTGCTAATTTTAGCCCCAGGAGGGTTCTTTCTGAAACCAAGGTCCCACAACCCCTATTTTAAAGGAGTTTGAGGCATCTGAGAGGGAAAGGAATTTCTCCTAGATTCCTAGACCAACGAGCTAATGTAGCACTTCTTTGTACTCCAACCGATTCAGTCCCTAAGGTCACCAATCTTTTCCTGCCCATGTTTGACTGATTGATCTTTTTGTGTTTTGTTTTGTTTTATTTTTATTTTTGTTTCTCTTCCTCATTCTCTCCCCCTCCTCTTTCTTCTTCCTCCTCTTCCTCCTCTTCCTTCTCCTCTTCTTCTTCTTCAGGTTTGTTAATTTATTTGCTTTCTGGAATTTGGGGGGCTTTTATTTCATTTTGTTTTGCTTTTAATCAACACAGGCAGGCAGATCCAGTGTTTTTCTCCTTCTAGAGACTTGAGCTGGTGATAGCTGGGTGGGGTCAGAAACTGTGGGCATAGATAAGAGCTCAAGACTACACAGAACTGTGGCAAGGGAGGGAACTAAGACACTAAAGACAGTGAAATCCAGAGTGCTTCTCTTACTGTCTTGAAGACCCTATCCTTGGTTCTTACACATCAAAAAATGCAAGAGATTGTGGGTTAGTGTTTGAAGGTCCTGCAAGGCTGCTCAGAAGTGCCTGATAAATATGTTCTGTGTAATATGCATGTGTGTGTGTGATCACAAATATGTGAGTATTATCAGAATATAAAGGCCACAGTGACTAGATAATGTGCAAGGCCTAGGAAGCCAGGGGAATAAATTGCATTCTCTAAATTCAACTGAGATCAAAAGATAAATTTAGTGACAAAAAGAGAGACTCAAAGTCACTTGAAAGAGACAGAATGACCTCCAGGCCAGAAGCTCTTACTTATAATCTTATGAAATGTTCTGATATA